GGCAGGATGGGCAGACGGGGAGTCAGGGGGGTGGAGGGCAGGAGGGGGGGAGTAGTAGTCAGAAGGAGCAGGGGGGCCAGGGAGGGTATTAATGATGATAATAGTAATAATAGTAATATCAATTGGCTACTCTCTTTGTTTCTTGGCTGAGCTTCACTGTCTATGGAATCATTGTAGAATTGGTGAGATGGTATTTGGCTAATGATCAGTGTCGATAACATAAAGCATCATAGATGATGGCATGTACAAGACTAGGACAAAGATAATGTACAGTCTACATTCAATTCTTTAGTATGTCATGATAATGAAAATCGCTCAACGTCCTACATTCGATCCGTACAACTTGCTTTTCCAATCGCTCATTCGTTACTTACACGACACGCTGCTAAACAAATCGCTGACTGAATGCTCCTGGCTGTCGCCAGTCTCGGGACTGGGAAAGATAAGAGAGGAGAATATGGTAAGACATGAAATAAGAAAAGCATAGGTAGTAAGGTAAAGGTAAGAGGAAAAAGTCAATTACACAGAAGGGATAAAAAAGGAACCCAGCCCGGGACTTGATCCGTAGACCAAACAACCGACGCTGGTAGCACGGTGATTCACGCAAAAAAACCAATACCCGTGCATATTGATTTCTGTTTTCGTAAGACAAAATGGGCATATCTCGGTAGAGGAAAGAGGGGTTAGTAGGGATAGATGGGTAGGGGTCGGGGTACACGACTCCTAGATGCAAAGAGAGAACCAAAGGATCACGCAGGGTGTAAATGTGTCAAATGCGAGTCTCGAGCTTTTGCAGATCTAACAATGAGCATGGCTGATGCAAGATGCAGATGCAATGCGATGCAACACTCTATGCTTGGCGGTTGATTTAGGCCTTCTCCTCGAGGCTGGCCTTCTGGAGCTCTTCCGACACGTCGGCAGCAGCGTCCTTCTCTTGCTTCAGCTCGGCGTCAGCGGAAACCTCGCCGTTCACACCGCTGTTCTTGAGAGCGGGCTTCTTGGCGGAGTCGGTGGCACCGTTGACGGCGGTCTCTTCCGCCTCGAGGCGGTCAATCTCCTCCTGGGCCTTCTTGATGTTCTGGACAGGTATTAGCATTTAATCTCGAGTAAAGAGAAAGGGATTAACTCACCTCCTCGGTCTTAGAGGCCTGGTTCTTCTTCCACTCGGTGATCTTGGCGGCAAGCTTCTCGATCACAGCAGGGACATCCGACTGGTTCATGGGAGGGTCAATCTTGACCTTGGCGAAGTCCTCGATCACACCAACGTTGAGGTTGAACTTGGCCTCAGTCGGGGTGCCGGGGGCGGGGCTGCCGTTGGCGCCCTTCTTGCCCTTCTTACCCTTCTTGCCGCCAGTACCAACGAAGTAGTCCTCCTCGCGGTCCTCCTTCTTGAGAACCTTCATACCCTTGAGGTTGGAGTCGTCCACGGTACGACCGACATCAGCACGGAAGCTGGAGCCCTCGTCCTTCTTCTCATCCAGACCCAGAGAAACGAAGTCGTAGGAGGGGTTGAAGTGGCGGATCAGACCCTGAGCGGTAAGGATCTCGTCGGTGTAAGCAAGACGAGAGGCCTCCTCCAGCTTCTTGTCAGCGATCTTCTTGCGCTTCTCGCGCTCGAAGGCATCGCGCTGGGCCTTCTGCTTCTCACGGCGGACTCTCCAGGCCTCATCTTCGTACTCCTTGTAGGCCTTGCGGGCCTTGTAGTAGTTGTCCTTGATTTCACGGATGGCGGTCCACTTCTTCTGCTGCTCGCCGTGGAGCTTGGTGCGCTCGTCCCTCAGGGCATTGAGGTTCTTGAAGGCACTGTCCTGCTCAGCCTTGATGGCATCGAGCTCCTTCTGGATCTCGGAGTACTTGTCGCTAAGAGCCTTGGCCTCGGGGTTGTCGAGAGTCTTCTTGAGGGAAGCGATCTGGGTCTTGAGGTCGTTGATGACCTTCTGGGCCTCCTCCAGACCGGCGAAGTTCTTGCGCTGCTTGCGCAAGTTGGAGACGTCGGACAGAATCTTGCGCTCATCGACCAGGCGGAGGGTGCCGGAGTCGACCTGCTTCTCGAGGCGGGCAATTTCGCGATCGAGTTCCTCGACGTTCTTGAAGGACATGCGCGTACGAGAGTTGTTCTGTTCGGAAATGCGAGCCTTGAGGGTAGCATCGAGGGCATTGATCTTCTCCTGGGTGCTGGAGCGAGAAGCCTTGAATCCCTGCTGCTTCTGACGGATCGAAGACAGCTCAGCGCGGAGTTCCTGCTGCTTCTTCGCGGCGGGCGAGTCCTGGTTGTTGGGCTTGGCGGTCTCGATCTTGGCCTTGATCTCGGTCTTTGATATGTGGTTAGTTTCTGAGATAACGGATAGATGATATGTTGCATTGGTCTTGCGATTGGATGAAAGGCGGAACAGCAAAGATGCAGTGTAGCGCAAAACATTCCGAATGGATAATTAGGCAGAGAAAAGGCCACGGAACGGTAATAAATCACCGCATCCAAGGTGAGAAATGCGATTGCATGATGCCAATTAAAGCAGAAAGAGATCCTCACATACCAATTTGGCCTGAACAGCGGCATGCTCCTTCTCAGCCTGAGCGAGATCGGCCTTGAAGGCCTCCTCGTTGGGCTTAGTAGGCTTCACCTTGTGCTCCGTGGCAGGAGCGGATTTGGCGTCAGCGGCCATGGTAAGAGGTGGAGAAAAGCAATAATAAGACAACACTCGACAAAATGAGCGCGATTGACCGAAATCAACCGGGAAAAAGAAAGCTCCAACGAGCGGGAAGAAGAAGGGAAAGGGGGAGAAGGAGGAGGGGGGGTTGAGGGGGGAAGGAATGGAAAGAGAACGCTGGAGAAGAAGAAAGTCGGTGCTCTTTTCTTGGTCTGGCCTTTGCTGGTCCAAAAGGCGGCGCTTACCGTTTGGCGCTTTTAGCGCTGGCCCGCCGATTTTTCGAGAACCGCATTTTGCTTCCATCATCGCCTCTCTCCCCTCCAGCCTAGACAGCTTCCTGCTCCGCATTCTCCGGGCTTGATCGGTTTATCTGCCCGATTATTGCTCTTCTTCTACCCTTACATCTAATCTCTTTCATTTTCAAGTTTCGCGCCGCGGTGTGCCATCCCCCTTCAACCATGGACGAGGACTACTCTGCAGGCTCCGTGGACGCCGACCGCGAGATGACCAGACTCTGGCGCACGTGGAGGACAGTCTTTGAGATGCTTCTGGATCGTGTAAGGATTTTCTCCAGCTTCAAGCGAAGCGAAGCTTGCAATAACCACCCCGCGATCATCCCACTGACCAAGTTCAACAAATCCGCAGGGCTACGAGGTGACGGAAGATGAAGTGCAAATGCCTCTCCACGAATTCAAGCAAAAATATTCCGACCCTCTAGGATACCCCGAGTATGCGCGCCTTTCATCCCATCCAATAATTTCCCAGTCAACCCCCATCTAACCCCAAATTTCATCAAACAGCCGCAACAAGATGAAAATCAGCGCCCGGCCCACGGAAGCCATGCAAGCGAAATACACGCCCCTGCCTAGCAAATCGAACCCGAACCCCCAGCCGGACTGCGGCACCATCTACGTCGAGTTCTGCCCGGACTCGACCGGCGTCGGTACCAAGCAAGTGCGTACCTTCAACCACTTCGTCGACGAGAACAACTTCCACACGGGCGTGTTCATCACCCAGACCCCCATCTCGCCGTCTGCTGTGCGCCTACTGAGCAGCATGCCCGGCCGCATCTGCGAGCACTTCCAGGAGCAGGATCTGCTGGTCAACATTACCCGCCACGAACTGGTCCCGAAACACGTTTTGCTTAGCCCCGACGAGAAGGCCCGTTTGTTGGAACGTTACCGTCTGAAGGAGTCGCAGCTGCCTCGTATACAGGTGTCCGATCCTGTGGCTAGATACCTGGGTCTGCGCAGAGGTCAGGTCGTCAAGATTATTCGCAGAAGTGAGACGGCCGGTCGGTATGCTAGTTATCGGTGGGTTATATAGTCGGTGGGTTGTTTTTGAGGGTCCTGCGATGAAAAGAATGAGTTGTCTCCGGTTATGGTGATATGCTTATTGCTGAGCCGGAGGTTACGCGTTTCAATTTCTATGCAGGTCCAGCAAAGTGGCCCAGTCTGCCCTCCGGAAAAGTTATATCACAGATGCAGAAAATAAAAGAGCAGACACAAGGAACAAAGACGAAAGAGAGGCTGGATGGAGAGGAAAATACGGCGAGGGGATGAAAAAGAAAGGAAAAGAAAAAGAAAAATTTACCGAATACAGGCATCGGGCAGCATGGCGTAAAGGCGAAAAATCTTCTCGAAAGTGTGTTTCTTAACGGGTGGTGTATGTGTGTATGTATGTCTATGCTATGTCTTATTTTTATTTTAGGTGTGCTTCGGTTTCGCCTCTATTAGGTCTTAAACTACAAATCTATCGATCTACACAAATCATACAATGGTTGAATTAAATGGAGTGGTATCAAGTCATAACTAAAACTTACATTACCACGATATATGTACTTGATTTTCTAGAAACAGTCAATGATCTTCCCTTTCTGTTTTAGTGCTCACTCTTTACTGCTTGTTACTTACTGAATAGGTCTCAGCACGCCCTAAGCACATATTAAGCAGCCTGAGATGAATACTGAACATGATGCACACATATCGCTGCTCGGCATTTTCGAACGAGCAAGACACGAATCAATCTTAAGCTTGTCTCAAAGAACCAATAAATTCATTCCTCTTGTCTTTGGTATGCAGCAACTTCACCACCACCGTATATGACAGCCACTCTCATCTTCACAAGCTGGTTGTGAGCTGACTTTGAATGCATATAGACACCTCCCTCGAACATAAATGTGGCATCCTTTCCGATGATACCGCTTTGGATCATAGTTCGGCCTCCAGGATGTGTATGTATCAAATAAAGCGAGACACGTCATGCACAATACCCGAAATGACAATGAGAGGACGCCTCGAGATCTCTACCTAGTAGATAAAGTCCCTCCATTGAATAACCGGTAAGCTCTCAATGGGAATTCCCCCAATCAAGCTGCAGCTTCTCTCATGATCAAGAAGCTTTTGCCGTTGTTGCAGGGCGACAATTTTGAATCTCGTTGGCCGCGAAATGTCTCAAGGTCATGAGCAAGCCCAAGCTGACCCCATATTTCCCGATAATCCATTTACTAGTCGGATCATATTGCCTCCATTTCTCTGCATTGCGATAGTCCGAGGGAAGAGGAATGGTGGAAATCATGATACCCTTCGCTCAATGCTAGAAGGGCATTGTGATCAGACGATCACGTGATGATCTCCGGTCATCGAAGGGTTGTCTCTCCTAAGCAGTGAGCTAGGGAGTTGACGCAAAACGTTGCCTGGTGAACAAAGAACATTCGAAACGCAAGGTGTCGAGTAAGGAGAATGAGAGTTTGCATGATATCACGTTGCATAACATGTGTTACTATATCGTTTCTTCCACTAGACCGAGACAGTAGAGTCTTGAATCAACAGCGCTATTTTGGACTGTATCTGCCACTTTAGTTTCATTTGATGCCCCATCGTTGCCTGAACAAAGGGGCAGATTGAGAACATAAGAGCGCCATGAGAGTATGAAAGTACCGTAATAATGCTGCCTTGCCTATCCTTGCGTTCTTGTAACACGCAGGAAAACCTAGTTGTGCAGAACAACCTTGTGTAGAACTGCAAGTGTGAACAGATTGGGAGCACTGCAGTGAACGTTCCTTGATTGCCATAAACAGTGGTCCAGTGTAATTCTCAGTGCATGCTGTCCCTAGGGTTCAAGCTACCATTGCTAGGAATCAGAAACCGCGAGTCTAGTTTGAATCAAGCACGGTTTGCAGCGCTGTTCAAAGAATATCTGGGGCTTTGTAATTTGCACGACGAGAAAGAGGGCCCAGAGGCACCGCGGGATCACTTTTCATACTGTATCCTAAAGGACCTACCACGCTACAAATATAGCATCACTGGCAAATCTCAGTGTCCACATGGTTTGCCATAATTGCGATAGAAGACCCAGACTAGTAGCTGAAAAAGCAGGCTCTTATGCGATAAACGGTCCATGATGAAGCGTATCTGCTGTGATTGTGCAAGGAGTTGCTCAACCATATCGACTTCGGTAAACAGGTTCAGATCTGATGTCGCCTTAGAGAGCTCGAGCTCGTTGCTGATTCTGACCGTCTTGTCTTCGGAGAAAGCGAATGAGGTCCCAATAATCGCATATAGGCGGCTCATCTTATGCTGATTAGGTGATTTCCATCCATCAGCTATCCACACCGGACGCAGGTCCCAGGGTATCTGGCGGCACTTCATCACCGATTGAAACAATTTCTCGAAGCTAAACCGAGACTTAACTCCACTGACCGCGTGCACGCAACCGTGGGTCCCTATAGCTAGGTGACAGAGTAGACGATCAACAACCACGTCTACAGGAACCACATCATGATGGTTATTGATTTCCGGGGTAGGTGTTTGTGTCGCTATCTCCCATCGCCAGGATGGGATCAACATTAGCCCTGCGGCAACCACGCTGCAAGGCGATGACATTGGAACACAGTATCCCGGAAAAGGCAGGCGTTGCGCAGGCCCAATAATTGAAGGACGTATAATAAGGAGCTTCTCTTGCCCGCCCATTTCTGCAAATCTCTGGGCCAGTAGCCGCTCAGTCAAATGCTTGGCATAGGCATATGCCCAGGGGAAGTCGTTCGCTTCGTACGTTTCACTCGTTCCATACTTTTGCACTGCACTCCATTCGTCAAGCGGACTGTCTTCCCTGTTCAAATGATAGAAATCCTCAGTGATCAACAGATCGGAACCAGGACTTTTCTCGTAGATATGAGCATTGCAAAACGCCGTGGAGACGTAGACGAATCGATCAAGGGCTCGGAATGAGCTCGCAAATTCGGCAACCATCTCAGTAGCCCCAATGACCCCCTGGGACACTTTATGAAGTGGACTTCCTAGATTGATCGGAGATGCTGCATGAATGATGATATTGATATTTTCGCGGAGCATTTCTTGATCGGGTTTAGACAGCCCCATGCTAGGGCAGGAAACATCGCCTTCGAGGACCACCAGTTTCTTTGATTCAAATAGCATATTTGCTATCTGGGCCGATAAACTCGCTTCCCATTTTGCACGAAGGTTGCTTTTGTGGTGTTAGGAAGCGATGGTATACGCTGGGGTTTGTGTTGAGCGGCTTACTCTATACCTCCTCGGCAGACTAGGTAAATATAAAACAACGATGTCGTTGTTATGAGGCGGTGGATCAGGGCGGTCCCCAAAAACCCACTCCCCCCTGTCACCAGGACTGACTTCTCGTTGTAATATTGCCACATTGTTGGTGTGCTATTTGCAGTGACGGGAGGGAGCATTGAAGAGAAAAGAACTTTTTGCGCAAGTTAATGGACTTTGGAAACTCCTCTAGCAAAGAGAATTCGATGGTCCCAAATGAGAGAGATCCCTGAGATTAAGGTCGTTAACCCTGAATATATTTCCAGAAAACGAGATTATAGCCTAAATTACTCAAATAATTCCTGCAAGATTATCAGTGTGGCTCTGAGAATCACCTATTTCGAAGACCGCATGCAGTAACGAGTCAACTGACTCCAATTAGTTACACACCGTCGTACTACCTACCTAGTCCCAACTAGTATCAATCAATCAACAAGCATACTCTTGTGTCACTATTGCAGCTCATTACCGCTATTTCTGATATATCGCTGTAAGGGACCTTTCTAGGGGCAAAAGTTAAAAACAACCCCCTAGAATCCCCTAAGTATAGACTCAGGTATACCTGGGAGGAGGCGGGTAACTACCCTTGTAACTAAGGATTCACTTCCTTGTAATTGTACAATTATTATATATCTCTTTGGACCGTGCTTGACCATAGAAACAAGGTATTCTGATCACCCACTAGTCTAAGGAAACTTTATTTCAAGCAGCACATATCAGTATAAGCTCCACTACATAATTCTACCATCATTGCCGAGACATACAGGGCTTGACTGAAAGATGTCTGAAGTATATTCCAACCCGTTCTTTGAGGGGCTTATTTAGGGTGGGCTATATCATTCTCCTACTTATATACATGTTGTAACCTCAACTACTCACCAACAAGGTTTGATTTACTGTTGGACATTATGGGAGATGTGTAAATAATGAGAAGATGCAGTCTTCAGTGAAATCCAATTCCACATTTTGTGCATTATAGGTGGAACAATAATCAGTAAGGTTGACTAGGTCTTGATGAGACTCAGGCTGACCCCCCGATCTGCTTTGTCAGCTTTGCAATCTCCTTATTAAGAGCTACGATCTCTATATCACACTTCAAATGCGGCGAGGCGATACCGGCAGCATGGTGGTGGTGTGGGGCGTTGGATTCTCCGTGATGAGCCATACTTTGTTCCATGTCACAGTATTAATTAATCTGGCTCGAGATCGTAAACTGAAATAGTGCCTGTACGTTTAATGAGTTCAGCACAGACTGAATCCTTTAGGTACGTGTTGTGGCAAATTCTTAACTTTAGAAGCTACCAGTCATATATAATATACAAGTTGAAAAGATTAATTCACAGTGCCCACTTCTTAGTCGCTTGACTATGTCTTTCATATATCCTACATATATTACGTCCATCATCAGCTCCAACGCTGAGCTTGGCGCACACACATACCCCATGTCTCAATACTGCTCAGCTGAGACAAAATCAAATAAAGAATTTACAAGTCATATACTCATCCAAATACGTAGCACGTCATGATCAATCGTTAAATCATTCCGAGCATCCTAGACCAGTCGCAACCCATCATCGTCTGGACAGCAATCTCCCCACGTCCTGGAGCTCGACCTCGTTCCCTTCAATGATAGGTGCTGAGACATCAGCCTGCGAGCGGTAAGAAGGGACCGGTGAGTCCGGAGGATCACTGAAGTGGACACTGGAGCCGCGACGGCGATTGGAAGACGAGTGGGAGTTACTGCGCAGGCCTCCAGGGCGAGAGAAGTTGGGCGACGAGGGTAAAGAGAGTTGGTGGGACGGGGTTGATGAGGAGTTGGTATTGAGATGAAGTGTTCGGGATGATCCTCCAATGTCCTGCGTGGAGGCGTTGCTTGCCCTGCTAGCATAATGTGAATATTGCGGAGTTGGGGCACTGGTAGGAGAGGTCGGAGTGGGATTGTTTAGAAGGCTACCGACGTCGAAGATACGGAGGTTGGTGGTATCAGTTGAGGATGATTTGCGCGGTGACTTGTTGGTTTCGATGTACTCGTGCGGACTGACTTTAATGTCTAAGCTGCCCGTGCTGGAGGCCCGGTCGTCTTCACTGCCGCCAGAGCGCTGGTTGAAAGACCAGTTGGGGTCTAGGGTACCGGCGCGGGCTGTCAGTGGATGGATGGGCATCGCGATGGGTGCAGGACGGGGTGTCTTGGTATCTGCAGAGCATAGTGACGGGTCCAGTCGGATACCCAGGTCTGCAGCGAGATCGGAATCACTTCCCCATTGGTGGTGGGTGATTGTTTGGCGACGCACGGAGCTGTGATCCATGCTTTCGCTGACGGAGGCTGATCCTTGAGCCTTTTTGAACTTGTTTTTCTTCGCACCCCTGTCACGCACGAATGAGCCTATGATGACAGCGTTCGAGACCGCCGTGGCGGCTAAGATTTCCAAAGATGCGACGAGCGAGCGGTATTGTTGTGAGCCATCGTTCCAGATGACTGAGGGCACTCGATAACATGTGATTCCGACTAGAATCAGAGACAGAGCGAACAGGATCACGAGGGAGACTTTGCGTTTCAGAGGCATGTGAGTCATCACGATGAATGGAATCGGGAAGGAGACGAGAAGCAAATCGGTCATCACGTCACAGGACCCCATTGTGATCAGGTTGGCATAGCCGAGGCGACATTTTGGACCTGGGTCCGGTACAACTTGCCAGTAATGGTCGAAGGGCTGGCATTCAGCGAGAGTAGCAATAATCACTGCCAACAATGTCGACGCCAGGAAGTAGTAGATGAATTTGAGGAATATCCGGAGGGATCGTCGCCAGATCTTGCCTGCCACTCGCTTGAGGAACTCGCATACGGTGAACTTGGCTATCCAGATGCTATTCGGATGGGGAACGGTTAGAACTGATCCTCGAGAGACACCCGGCGAGAAAGAGGGACAACTTACAAGATAGCATAGAAGATGCGCGCCACAAGAACAAATTTACTGCCAATGACTCGATGATCGATGTCTTCGGCAGACAAGCCCACGGTCTTGGTATTATTGGTACCCCAAATTAGAACGACATGCACGCATGCCATGCGAATTAATAAGGGGATGACACTCGCCATCATCACCTTATCCTCGCGGAAGAAACGCTCGGTCCGCACATAACGACCACACACCCGGACAACGATGATGGCTACTGAAAACGCCGTAGCCCACCAGCTCACGAGCAGAGTGGGATTGTTTTGCTCCTTGGTCCGGGCATCCGGAGGAATATCGGAAAAGAGCCCACGAGATTCAAGCATCCACTGTACATTCATGGCCGCTGTGCCACCTCCGAAGAGGGGCCAGTGAAGTGGAAGCAATCCCCCAAATCAGATAAAGATGTCCGAATAGGTTTCAGCAGCAGTTGATATGAAGCCGTGACGTTCTTTTGTACATTCACATCGTTCACACTACTGGGATCGGTACCTGATAGGCACGTGCCCTACTCCGGATCTGGTGTGGGGAAGCCAGCTCAAAGAGGAGCCGGAAAGTTACGATGGTCGCTGTCAAGGACACCCGAGACACACGGTGGAGATGGCGATCGGCAAACGGTGCTGCTAGTAAAAGGTGACAAGTGACAAGAGCTTTTCTCCTTTCAGTGGAGGTGAGTGAGTGTGTCCCTGCTGGTAAGAATGTAATAACAACGACAAGAGTAATAGTAAGAAGCTCGGACGCGTTCTGTGGATTTGCGGGGGAGGCTTGAGACTTCCTCGCCAACCAGCTCTGTCCGGGAGAGTATCAAGGTAGAAGAGATGCCAAGTACACCGCCGTTCTGACGTCGACTGTAAGTAATTATAAGAAGTAAGCAAGACTTGAACAGCAAGTTCACATCAGCGGAGAAGTAAGTAAGTATTTTTGCAACCAGATTGCGCGATGAGCGCCGCGTCAAACAAGGGGGTTAGAGATAACAACACGGGGACCTCTAGCACTGGCACTGGCACTTATATCTTAACGGTGAAGCATAATATATTAAAGCTCGCATGGCGAGAATCCGCTAGACTTGGGATGGGTCTACGGGTCATGGCGCTCTCGATAAACTTCGCGCTGGGGGGAAAAGCGGAAGATAACGTAGACGGGAACGGTGGGCGCCGGATGTAGCCATGGAGGCTTGGGAAACCAGGTTGCGCGAAATGATGGGGGGGAAATCCCGGAGAAAAAGAACCAAGATAACTTGGGAGCGTGGACCAGCCAGAGAGGAGCGATAGAGCAGGGGAAGAAAGCTACTAGTAGTAACTGGTGCCTAGTAGCTCACCCATGGCGTCTAACACAGCCAATGAACAGGGAATGGCTGGAAGGACGGATACGAAGCCATCGTCCAGCTCACGAGATTGCTTGTGATATGGGAGTCTGCCACATGATTTGCAGCTGATTTCGGGCCACGATCGTGTGGGTGGACAGTCTTCGCAGCGTCATGACTCCTGCGAAGTGGAGATTATCGTTCCATACAGAGAGCAAACTGGCCATTGTGATCGGTGAAAAAGAACAGGAGGTTATCCGCGGCGATAGGCCGATGATCAGTCGATGCGCCGGGAACCAACGCCAATCACCGAATTTCTCATCCACGGGAAGGTCAGTCCTGTGGACAAGCAACAGCAGCAGCAGGAGCAGCTGGAAATGATAAGCCCCTGATAGGGCGAGTGTGCAGGCCCGCTTACTGACAGCGTACATTAGCTGGGCGGAGCTAAACATGGGTGGGTTAGTTACTTCTTCTTACTCCCCTCGCAGAAGAGAGCTAAGCAGGAACCACAAACCAACAAACAAAGCAAAGGTTAAGTAAGAGAGAACGAGTGACGGAGTGGAAGAGGAGACAGACGGAGACTGTCCGAGCGGTAAATCTTAAAACAAAACAAAGCAACGTCCAAGTGTCTGTTTTGTCTCCACTGCCTGGCTGCCTTGAATCCCTCAAATACCTCTCTCAGTTGGGTTCTCAACCCCCGAATAACCCCTACAGCATATTCCAAATCCAATCCATCAGGCACTCGTTGGACTGATCATCATCTTCGTTACACGTGAGATAATAGTATTGGGGCGATGGACCGGATGGACTTAAGAGTATACGCGCAGAACCGAAGAAAAGCAAAGTATGTCAAGCAAGGCACCGGTTTATCTCCGTCATAACATGATTCGTTCTCTTCCTCATGGCCAAACCAGGGATCCCCTGAAACTTTGAACACAGAGATAAGGCGTACTACTTTTAATTACTTACTTACTTTTGCCTACGGTCGGAACCGATGCGCACTTGGCGATTTGTCGGTGTCCCGACCGGTCGATGCCGAGGACACACGCCTGATTGCCAGGGGAGCAACTCTCTCGTGGCCCATAAGCAGGCCTGACCCATGCAATGAGATAAAGCACTAAGGCTCGGAACGTTCTCCTCCTCGATTGATAAGGGATCTCGACCTTTTCATTGTCCTGATCTATCTATGTGTCTAAAAAATCATCCAGTAGTGCTCAAAATGTACAATATCACCAAACGGTCATGAAAAGTCTAGACGCGACGAATGCTGATAAGCCAAGTTCTGGCTCACCTACTTACTTCCTCAGGGACTGGATGTCCGCCCCCTTGAGGATGCCGTCCAGGACCACCCGCAGTTCTTGCAAGAACTTGGTGACCTCCTGCTCGGTTCCCACGGTGATTCGCAGGCAACCCTCGCAGCCAAGTTCCTTGCCACGGAACCGCACCACCACTCCCCTCTTCTCCGCCATGGCCTCGTAAGCAGCCAGCGCTGTCTTGTTGCTAGGCTTGCCGCCCTCGCTAGCCGGCTTATCTAGCATCTCAACCAGGAGGAAATTGGCCTCTTGGCCGCCAAGGAACCGGCCGACACCGGGGATCTTGGGCAGCTCCTGCACCAGCCGATCCCGCTGCACAATAATCTGCTCCCGGTACTGCTTCATCACGGTCATATTGGTCGGCGAAAGAGCGGCCGTGGCAATGGCACTGGTAGGGCTAGAGATGTTGTACGGGGCCTTGAGGCTGTTGAGGAGAGTTGCAATTGGGGGACTGGTGAACGCAACACCCAGGCGGATACCCGCCAGACCAAACGCCTTGCTCAGCGTTTGCATGACCACCAGGTTGGGCCACTCAGTCACCCATTCAGCCAGACTCGAGCCCTCGGGAGCAAAGTCAATGTACGCCTCGTCGACAACCACCACTCCGTTCCACGTCGGGTGCTCCAGCACCTTCTGAATATCGGACTTCTTGATCAAGTTCGCGGTGGGGTTTCCGGGGGAGCAGATATAAGCCATCTTAATCGAGGAGTCTGCCGCAAGTGCCTCATTGATCTTCTCCGGCTGCAGTTGGAAGCCATTGTCCACATCCAAAGGCACCTTCACAATCTCGATATCGTTCACTTGCGCACTAACACCATACATGCCATATGTGGGAGGGCAAGTGAGGATCTTATCCTTACCCGGAACACAGAAACATCTCAACAGCGCATCGATGGCCTCATCCGATCCGACACCAACGAAGAGGTTCTCAGGCCCAAGGTCCTTCTGGGTGTGGGTGTGGGTGTTGCGCAGCTGGCAGAAAAGCTTCTTCAACTCGACCTGGTGACTGACACATGACTTCTTTTAGCAATCCCAACAACAACAACAATTATATCACACAATACATGAGCGACAAGTGTGTAGTGAAGGACCTTGTGCGATCAAGAGAGTGAGTGAGCGGAGCGAGACTTACGGATCCGGATAGCGGTTCAGACCCAGAAAATCAATTTCTGGCTTGGAAGAACCTGTCGACGATCCCGTCACAGTAGACTCCTGCAGGGCGCCTTCGGGATTGAGGGCAAGGCCGGGACCGTAGGCGTTCTCGTTGGCGTCGAGCAGGACGTTCGTTCCATCATCTTTGTAGTCACTGACTCATTAGTGCCTTCGTCACACAGGTAGCGGGGAGGTGGGGAGGGGGAACACACTCTCTGGCGCAACGGTAAGGCTGCAATTTGAGGATGTTAGGGCGCGCGCACTTGGCGAGATCGAATGGAGCCATTGTGAATGAGATTGGATGTGTGATGAGCGAGAGTATGGTGGTGGGGAGAGGAAGAAAGAATGGCAGGCGGGGAGGGGAGTCACCGGTGGCGGGGAAGTTGATCGGCGGAACTCCCGGTGTCGGCGGGAGGGTCGCTCCAGGTACTGCGGCAATTGTTCAGAGTATAAAATTAAGATAAAACGGACAAGTCTTAATCCCACTATTGTACAGTTTGTTATTCATCTATCTATCTTATTCTCTTATGTAATGCTCCAGGCCTTCTATATACTGTCGGCAGTCCTTGGTTTTTGGATCATTTAGGACTCTCAAGATGATATACTAGATACACACATGACTACCAATGCCGTACAAGCAACAACGCCTCAAATGCCTTCAGACAAATGTCATCTAGGGTTGCCCATGTCCCTTCAGGATCGAGCGGGCAATCATGCTTTAGTCATAAGTTTCTATTCTTCAGCTGCATCGGAAGTCTTGGCCTTTTTGCCAGACTTCTTGTATTTATCTTGCTTCTCGCGCAAGTATCGCCAGGTTCGGCTGACTCCCGAGGTCAGGAGACCCTTCGCCGATTGCACCGTACTGGGCCAGCGGATGGTCTTTGCAATGGTAGTCTGTACTTCTTTCGTGAGGTTCTTGTCATCGGCGATCCGCTGTTCGAATGGACCTCCTTGCCTCCGACGCACTAAGTCGGAGTCGTTGTTGTTGCTCTCCTTCATCATCTGGTCGAACTCGACCCGAGGGATTTGATAACGGGTCTGGTACTGGAAGTAGAGCTTCTCACGGAAGGAGTCGGGCAGACGGCGAACCATGTTACCACGCTTGACCGGATCCATGTCCTGAGTGAGGCGCACGTTGGCTTCGGGATCGTCGATCCAATCGCCCTCCGTGCAACGCTTGTCGTTGAACGTGACATTGGGCAAGTTCTCGATTAGGGGCGCGTATAGTCGCCGGAAGTTAGCCATCTGTGACGACACGATGTTGTTCACCTTGCGGGGATCTTCCGCTGGCAGTGCCATGCGCAGATCCCCCATGTAGCTCATGCTTGCAATGGTACTGTACAGTTGAAACTCGGTAAACTCAGCCGGAAGAAGCAGTAGAGCTACTCGGACGGCGGATAGCAAATTCATTTGATTCGCCAGCCGCACCTTCGGGTGGTCACGCAAGATCTTGACCGGCTTTTGCAGCCGTCCAGCAAGATACAAGGTATCCCATTGGCTGAGATCCCGGCATAGTGTATCAAGGTTCACGACCCCATATTTGATCAGTGTGCCATTGACGGTTATGTAAGGGTTGAAGTAAACGCCGGCGCCAATACGATCCTGCACTTGGGATACCATATAAGAGCCCAAGGAGCCCAGGCCAGAGTAATGGTCTCGGTGCTGGCTCAGATTCAAGGAGTGCCAATGTTGGGAGTATGATACTCCAAAAATAAAGTCAATCATTTTCCCTTGCCCCTGTTGCATGTTCTTGATGGCTGCTGGGGCCGACGGGTGGCATTGGCTGGAGCCAGGCGCACTGCCTGTCTGTTGGAAGACACCGGATCCATAGGCAAACGCATATCGAATTGGGGCTCGGAACTGCCAAAGAATCTGACGCAAGGCTTCTTTGAACTCCTGGTTGATTACCATATGCTGGTTGACACCGAAGTCTTTCGAAGGTAGCTCCGAAAATGCCGAGATTGATAGGTCCGGATTCGCATCCCAGTCGCCGGGATCCGACCGCTGTGAGGAGGTAGAGAAGGAGGCTGAAGACGAGGGCAGCAGGAGTCCACGGTCAGTAGAGGTGGACTGCGAGGTTATGACACCAGGGGAAGAGGATCGGTTCGAAGGGGATGAGATGCCATGAGATGATGAAGTCGAGTAGGGGTCAACCGAGAAGGAGCGAAAAGAACCCGGGATGCGCGCATGCCGCGGGAGAGACGGGTTGATCGAACGCAGGCGCACATAACCTGAGTTCGTGTTCAAAAGGAAAGTCTAGCAAGGTGATTGTTAGCCTCTAACGGGTGATGCACTCCGAGGGTTCAGGCATCCCGGTGTCTCCTCTTACAGTAGCTTGGCGCATTGTCGCGATTCCACCAAGGGAAGGGAAAGTTGAGCACAGCGAGGGCTGTAATTAGAAATCAAATCAAGAACCATCTGAGAATGACCGCCTCAGACCATACTTCCAAATCGAAACAAATTGTGAGGAAGGTCAATAGAAGGCGAGGAAGAGTGGAGAGTAGATCTGGGGGGGAAGGAGGACAACAAATGTTCACAATAATGAGAATAATGAGGGTCTGACGTACTCTTCGGCAGGTGTTCTCGGCCTGTTCGATTGCAGCCCGGATGAGGAAAGTGCCCGACTTCGCCACGATCCCGACCCCAGACACTCCCAAAAACAGTCAAGCCACATCTCGCAGGTCACGTGGGGTCGCTCCTCCGCGGCGCGTTTCGGAGACCCAAACACCGCCGTAAACAAGAACTGGGACGGCGGGCGCAGGCCTGGAACAAACAACTTTCGCACTTTAGTCGATAACAGCTCGATTTTACCCCCCAATTTTACCAATCCCCATGTCCTGAATCTCTCGCAGTAATGGCCCAGGAAATGGAGACCTTTGCAGCTCGCCTCGCCAGTTTCGATCGGGTGTTGTATCCCGAGAAACGGAGGTCATCCAGCGCGAAGTCTGCGAAACCGATCGCTTGGCCGCATAGCCGGCCATCTCCCGCTGAGGTATGGTGTTGGCATCTGCACCTTGAGGAAATGCACACTTGCTGATATGTCACACGGTCATAGCTTGCGCATGCAGGTTTCTTCTATAACCCTTACGAAACAAACCCCGATAACACAACATGTTTCCTGTGCCGCAGAGCACTAGATGGTTGGGAGGAAGACGACAACCCCATTACAGAGCATCTCAAGCATACGCGGGACTGTGGCTGGGCTATCATGATGGACATTCAACAGCACAGTTCCAATCCTGCGGAGATTGAAGATCCCACAAGCGAGCGGATAGCGCAAGCCAGGCAAGCCACATTTGGCGAGTCATGGCCACATGACGGAAAGCGAGGCTGGTACTGCCAATCCGATAAGGTATGTTGAGTGTTGCTGCTGTACCTGCTGTGCCGGTTCCGCTCTGGGTGTCTAATTGGCAATGCATTACAGATGGTGGAAGGTGGATGGTATTTCTGTCCGAACGAGGAAAGCAACGACTTGGCCACCTGCCCGTACTGTAAACTGTCTCTGGACGGCTGGGAACCCAAGGATGATCCATTGTAAGTTTGTGTTGCTCCTTCCTTCTTGGCTATCGCTCACTAGATCAGTGATGAACATTACCGTCGCTCGTCAGATTGCTCCTTCTTTGTCTTTGCCAAACCCTCCGGAAAGAAAGGAAAAGGCTCCCGGTCCAAGAAGTCCCGTGTTTCGAAGGCTTCCCGTCTATCCACACAATCCACCGCATCGGAAGCGCCAGTGTCTGAGCTGGACGACCCGGTAGACCAGAGTACTCTGTCCCAATCAACTACAAAAACGAAATCCTCGAAGAAATCTTCCAAATCCAAATCGAAGACCAAGTCAAAGAAGGAAGAAGTGGTGGACGCTGACAGTCAGATGGATATCGATACCACGGATTACAGCCAGCCTGAACCCAAGAAGACGAAACGCACCAGGGGAAAGAAGAGAACTAGTGACGAACTCAAGGATGATGCCGAACTTGTCGACTCAGAGACGGCGGAAAAGCCTGAACGACCGGCCAAAAAGAGAGCCACCAAGTCACGCAACAGCACACAGCAGGAATACGACAGCAGTCTGGAGGCCGTCAAGGAAGATGTACAGGTAGACGACCCTCCTGTCGAAGACGAGAAGCCAAAGAAGAGTCGTGGAACAAAGAAGAAAACCACATCCAAGAGCCGGAAGGTTTCCACAGATTCAGTCGTCTCGAGAGCTGCATCGGAGATTCCTCCCAACCATGAGCACGAAGCAGCAATGGATGTCGATCAAGGTCTGGAGAAGCCTGTTGACGAGCCAAGCGAGGAGCCCCAGCCTAAACCGTTGAAAAAGTCCAAGTCTAAATCGAAAAAGAAGACCAAGGCGGATCCGGAGCCGTCGAATGAAGTGGTAGCGCAGCGCACAGAACCGGAGTCACGGGAGGAGGTTCCAGAGCCTGAGAAAGCTCCGGAACCAGAACCGGAACCACCAGTCGAAGAGATTCAGCAAACCCGCCGCACAAGCAGACGGCAGAGCGCGAGAGTCTCCGATAAGCTTCGGCAAAGCAGCCATGACCAAGAGTCTCCCCAGCCCGTTACACAGCCAGAGCCTGAACCTACGACTAACGCTGGGGCCGACTCGAAGGAACATGAGTCATTCGTTTCTGTAGAAATTCCAGCAAGAAACTCAGAGCAGGGCGTCGGTGCAGCTCAGAATGACAAGGAATCTAAGAAGACGAAGAAAAAGGCTTCGGCGGAGAAGCAGCGAGCTTCCAAACAGGCAGAGCAGAAGGTTGATGTAGAACTTGACCACGACGAGAGCCACGCCAAGGCTGAGAACAAGGCGACGGACGAGCCAGAACAACAGCCTGACACCCCGCAACAACTTGAGCAAGGAAAGCCTCAGAGTCAGACCCCAGATCAGCCATCTGCTCGACGCAGATCCTCGAGGGTTCCTCCAAAGACGGTGGAAAGATACAGCGACATTCCCAGGGAAAAGCAATATGCCAGATCACTAGCAGAATCTCGAAACTCCCACGTCGACCCAGCGCCGGAAGATGACCATCAACCGGGAGAACGACCTGAGCCAGCCACCGTGTCGCCTCTTCCCTCGCCTTCCAAGAGCACTTTGTCACTGTCGCCGCAATCATCTGACGCCGAAAATCAGCCACCGTCTTTGAAACCGTCTGTAAACCGGGCGCCAGTAGCGTCACCTTCCAAGCAGGTTCGAATTCCACTTGTGGCCAGCACTCCTTCCCCCTCCAAGCGAGGGGCGAATGTAAATTCCCTGAAGACATCCCATCCGTGGACTCCCATTGACATTGATGGAATTATCTTGGCTGGAGGTGACAAAGAGAACATCGACTTTGGCGGGTTACATAGCGTCAAAGGTGACTTGACAAGCCCTGAGAAGAAGATGACCGTCGAAGAATGGATCAAGTGGAACGCAAAGAACGGAGAGGAGAAACTCAAGCAGGAGTGCGAGAGGCTAGTCAGCCAGTTCGAACGAGAGGGTGCTCGAGCTATGCGGGTCTTGGAAGGCATAGAATGCATCGATTGAGCGGGTCACTTGGGTATTATCGGTTAGGAGTAAGCGGGTCGGGTAATGGGCATTGGATAGGTACTTGGGTTCATCTTGTTTTTTCAGTGGTACAATATTTTCGCCGCAATCTCTGTTGATAACGGTGCAGTCGGTATATGCTTAAGGGATTTCTGCGCTTTGTGATGCGACAATGATTTTTCCGTGTTTGGATAAAACGAAAGTCTGCGAATAATAAATGCTCAAGCTCCAAACGCCATGGGTATACTGCAGCTTTTAGCCCTGATAAACCATCCCATCTATGACCACGATTTCCAAAACAGACCATGCACATGCCCAAGCTTAACCACACGAGCTTACGCAATAATCCCCAACCTGCCCTCCCAGCTCTCATCCTCCTGCTTGATCCCATCGCCTCCCTTACGACGCTTCTCATTCCTCTTCCTCCTCTTCTCCTCCCTCTCCTTAGCATCCTGCTCCTCCCGCTCCTTCAGCCTCTCCCCAAGATCCAACTGCCAAGCCCGCCTCTCTTCCTCCTCGCGCACCCGCTTCCGATACGCCAACATCCTCAACCGCTCCCGCACATCCTCCACCGTAGCCCTCGTCACTTCGCCGCTCTGTCCCGTCGCAATCAAATGCTGCTTGCTATTCAAATGCTCCACAAGCTGCAAGTTATCCTTGAACGTCAAATCACAGTCCGAGCAGTAGAAACCCGCACCCCGACCTCTCTTTCCGATCGCTGACCCCGACGCGACAATGGTTGTCTTGCCAACCATCGAAGCGACATCGAGTCGCTCTTTGCGCGATGTCGTGGCTTCCAGTTGGCTGTAATCCACCGGCGCGTGCCATTTCTTGCCTAGTAGTTTGGCCTCATATCGGGCTTTGGATTCTTCTTTGCGCTTGGCTTCGTCGTCGGCGGCTTTTTTGGCGTATTCTTCACGGTCCCAGGTTTTGCGGAAGGCTGTGTCCGAGGAGGGCGTGCCGTAGGCGGAGGAGGATTGCTTGTTGTTGGTGCTCATGGTGGCCTTGGGGGTACCCTGTTGGGTACTGTTGATGGAAGATGTGTTTTGGTGTTGGGGTGTGTATATATGTTGATCGATTAATTGGAGTTGGTAGCTTGATATTTAGTTGATGTCGATGGTTATCGGAGGCGAAAAGAAGCTTGCCGGCAGAAACGGCAGGCGGTGGGGAAAGCGGGGTGGGCGGATTTGCAGGACATCCCCGGATCTTACTCTTGATTATTGTTTTGTTCCCCTTAACCCATCTCTGCTTGATCTGGTGTATATTGGGAGTGTCCACTCGAAATCTAGACTTTCTATTTTAAGATATACTTGAACCTTGTTAATGGATTGGATATTCAGGACAGTCGCTCTCAGCCTACATTCTATCTCCACTTTACTCATTTAGCCTTCCGAGTGCTTGCTTGAAGCAGCTCAATTCTTTGCCGCCTAGTCTCGTATAGCCACAATCAGGCATCTTATTTTCGGCGCCTAGGCAACAATTAAGCTGCCTCAATAATTCCCCAAGGCAACCAAATATCCGATCATATTAAGGTGTCTAGAGCATCCAAACAATAGGACAATATTCATTCAGCATTCACAGCTTGGTTACAATTCATATCCTCATAAGACTACATCTGCTTCTTCCATCTTACATCCACATCACATTACCCTCCACACAAACAAATAACACACACACACAATGGACTCATCATCACCCCAAGAAACCCCAGCTATTCCTTCCCTCAATCTGATGGACCTCCCCACGGAACTCCATCTACACATCTCCACATTCCTCCCATACCCAGATGCACTAGCATTGAAACACACCTGTCGCCATTTCTACTCTCTCGTCTACACCGGGGTGCACCTCAAAGTCGACTGGTTTGTCGAGCGCTTTTCCCAGAAACTCGATTGTCCGATGGAGAAATGCTCGTTCCGGACGGACGAGGCTTTCTGTAATAAGACGATTCGAATGATCATGGAGCGCAGAAGACGGCATCTGGAGTGTAGGGCACAGCCGGGTGGGTGTTTGGTCATTGAGGGGAGGACTTGTCAGAAGGATCTGATTCCGTTGTGGATGAAGAAACGTGGTCGTTGGGAGATGATTAGATCTTTTGGAAATGAAGGTCAGTCTGCATTCGAATTTAATGCTTGCGAGATGAGCTAACGTGCGTGCAGCTTTGATTCATGGGCTTATCTTTCTCTGTGTCTTTTTGCTTTGGAATATGAGTGCAAGGTGTGTGCCTTATCGGTTTAAGAATGAGCTTGAGCCGAAATAACTCTGTCAGGCTACTAAACCGCGCGATGGTGACAGTATAACGGCAGCCATTTACACGTCCATCGCTCTTCAGTCGCACAAGACGATGCAACTGATTGGATACTTGACATGAAACCATGTCAGTAGCAGCTGGCTGCTACATATACGATGCACTGATATGACATCTACGCTGATACGACGACACGAACACACATCCACAGCTGGATCTAGCTGGATCATCCATGTAATAATACCTAGTAACCTGAAAGCAATATACGCTATACATTTACCATCATCCCATATCATAGCAGATCTATAATCGAGATTCACTCTATAGTAAGCAATCCAAACACCATAGCTATGATCCAAAGCAAGCAGCAGCAAATTCGCCACCCATCTATTCTCAAACAAAACCAAACCCAAACTCCCAAGGCAGAAGCACGCTATAGCCATATACATATCCATCATCAACACCATTCCGTAAATCCCAAAGAATCCCATCACTATCTTCCAAAAAAACACCGTGAATAACCATCCAACACCGCCCAAAACCCCTAGCATCGAACATTCATCCCCTGATACAGGGTAGAACAAGAAAAACACCCATCGCTCATCCCAAACCTCAAAACAAATCAAAACAAAGCAAAGCAAAGCAGACCAGAGCAGGAAATTCACCCCCCAATCGCACACACCCTCATCGCCCCACTCACATCCTCCACTCTCTCCACATTCACACATCTCGTCCTCGTCCTCCTCCGTCCTCTCCCAGTTCCAGTTCCAGTTCCAGTTCCAGTTCCACCAATCCTTCCCCTCCGCCCTGCTTCGCCCAGTTCCTCGATCATGGCTTCGAGTGTTGCAAGATCGGTTTCGATACTTTGTTGTGAGCGGGGGAGGGTTATTGATCCTGTGTCTGAATTTGATCTTGAGGTGGGCGTTGGTGATGGTGGTGGGGATGGGAGTTGGAATGTCATGGTTATTGTGTTCGGTATGGTGTGGTTGTAGATGGAGATGTAGATGTGAATGTAATTGCAGTATAGTATAGTATAGTTAAGGTATAGGTGGAGAGGTAAGTAGTAGGTAGTAAGGAATGTTAGGTGAGTTATTAGAGTTGATGGTTGACAGTGAGTGAGTGGCGAGATTGCGGGGGTAACCAGTATAAGTATCAATAAGTGTGGTACGTAGTATGTAGATCAAGTCTATTAGGTACGTATATAAGTGGCTGGGCGTTCCTTATGTTTCATTTCCTTTGCCTCATTAAACTATTGGTTAAGAGCTCCAGAATGGGGCTGGATGAGTCAGATAGTTGTCACGCTGATTCTACAGTGACTTAATTGATGGGGGGTTTGTTGGTGTTGGTGTCGCGGTTACCTAAACTAACTGGGGTGGTTTTGACTTGTCTGCCTAATTTCTGGCTTACCCGTGATAACTAAGTAAGTCCTTGGTAACATCTGACAAAACTAAAACTGATCATTCTGCCCAACCCAACGGGAGATCCCCGCCAACTAGACTACGTACTATTCTGCAATTAAATCATGCATGATCTGACAAAACATTATCGATCAGCCATGCAAGGAACTCATCTGTTCAGAACTTCACCTGACTGAGTTCTGCCGCGTGACCCTCTTCCCACGGATACTTGATCTCCAACTCCTTCAGCAGCGCCTCGTGCTGCTTACTCCTGGGCTGAATGCCCACCTCGAACGGTGCCACGTGACTGATCACCCCGTTTAAGAATTTCGGCTCTACGTCCACTTCCTTGCCGTTCTTGATGGGCTTGGTGAAACTATATACGGCCAGCGACTGCGCAATGCTCAGGTAGACGTTGGAATCTGCCAGTGTGCGGCCGGGACAGATGCGACGGCCGAATCCGAAGGCGAGAAGATGGGGGTCGCGCTCGGGGGCGTGGTTCTCAGTTGCTAAGAACCGTTCTGGCTTAAAGGCCATAGGTTCGGGGTAAACATCTGGGTCGTGGGTGAAGGCCCTGAAGAAATGTTAGAAATAGACTTCGACATTCACTGGAAAAAGGCTACGTCTCACCATTGATTCGGCAGGATCTGGGAACCCTTTGGGATAAAGTAGCCTTCGTACATGTCATCCTCCGACGAGCTGTGTACAACCCCCATCGGGGTCACGGAATGCCAACGGAGGGCCTCTTTGACCATGGCGTCGATATATGGCAGGTTCTCGCGATCGCTGAAGCTGGGAAGACGGTCGGTCCCGACAACTCGGTCAATTTCTTCCTGTGCCTTTCGCTGTACGTCCGGGTAGAGAACCATCGCGAGGAAAACCCCGCCCAAGGTGGATATGGTCTGCTCATGATTAGATACGGTTTACGGAGTTCAGAGTGGTAGACTTGCCGTGTCGGATCCTCCACCGTACATTGCCGCGGCAGACCATTTCATGACGATTTCATCAAAGGAACCTGGCTCTGGAACTCCCTTCGCCTCGAGTAAGCCGGATAGGTAGGATGGGGCGTGCTTGTTTTGCGACATCTGATGCCGGACAAATTCGTACGGTTGACAGTTCCAGGCTCGGGCGCTTTCCTTGAAGTTCTCTGCAACGCGTTTGAATGTGGCACCTGGAAACCAGGCCGGGATGTGCCTCACTAATCATCCAGTCAGCCTTCTCCTCTCGTTGTGTGAGCTACAGTGCATACGGAATGGAATAAAATCCACTATCCACACCCCGGGAACGAGGGCCGCGCCGAGATTTCCCATCGCCCGGGCTATAAGATCCACCAGTGGGTCATCCCCATGTGGCACAACGCTGTATCCATATGCTACCTTCAGGATGATTGCCGCTGCTTGCCTTTATATAACCGTTAGCTCTGGTGCATTTCTAGGACCTAATATGGCGGGCTTACTTCCGGATGTGGTCCTGCAGACCTTCGGGGTTATCACGCACCCGAAGCAGGGTACGACCAACTTCGGCCTCTTGGATATGATTGAACCGCGCAACAGAATTGTTTGAACCGATTTGTTGATAGAATAGCTTCCGCTCAGTCCGGACACGCGGGTCGTTGTTGTTCCTCAGACTGAACAAATCCTTAAATCCGCACCTAGCCACCTGTTAGCAGCGAATTAACCGGTCATGGGGGGGCGGTGATTGCCAACATCTCGATAAATGTCAAGCTAGGTCGGTCTGAGTGTGTAGCTGAACGCTTCTCCAACAACTCAACCGCAATCCGGGCATCGTTAATGATTATGAGGGTCTCTCCAAAGACCTGTACCGAGCTGATGGGGCCTACAGATATTGTTAGCTGTGAATAGACACATATGTGTCAGTACTATACGCACCATATGTCTTCTTGTGCTTGTACCAATGCAGCCAATCTGCTTCTCCATTGGCCGGTAGGTCGAGCAGGTTCCCGATGATCGGCTTTGGCTTCGGGCCCGGAGGGAGTGGGGCCGGAAACCTTTTGCGGGTTAAGAAGGACTTGAGAATGACAAGGCCAAGCAGGCCAACAATGGCTCTCACTAGCAGGGACATGATTCAGCGGTCCGTCGGTGTGCTGGTCTTGATGAAAACAGCAAGACTGGGTCCTTTGGACGGGGATGCCCTCATAAGTATGGAGTGCAGGCGCACCCTTGTCTCTGCACGATATATTGCATTTCATATGTTGCGGGGTCAAGAGGGGGTCGTGCATACACTTGTGCTCCTCATTTCAGCCGTATGAGCATCGGAGGTGATAGCAGACGCGTAGCTGAGCGTCAACTAGCTGCACGGCTACCGAAGACCCCATTTATGACAGGGTATACATTGGCCGATATGGTCAGTCGTGATGATAAATGCCATCCATGAAGGTCATGACTCGGTGATCGGCGTGGGGGGGGGGGGGGGGGTGAGGACGAGCTGATCCAGGCCGGTCGCCGTTAGAACGTCTATGCACGATGCCATAGCCTTGCTCGGCGCATCTGCTGTAACGGCTGATAAGACCGTGGCACTCCTTGGCGCATTTCTCTCAGCCCCTAAAAGTGAGGAGAAAATTCATCAACAGTAACTCATCATCGTCATCCTCAATTGTCGCCGATTACATGCACCAACGGGAGTGGCTGCAGTCGTGGGAAAATCATTCGCCAGTCGCATGCTCACCAACGCCATCATCTAGTATTGGGCGGGGAATAGGAAGACCGGCGAGGGTTAGCATACTCCCCAGCTGTTGTAGGGAGTGGTGCAGACAAATCAGGCTTCTCTGATAGTAAGACACGATGCATCTACGACCCGCTCGGCGGGCCGCTGGAGCTGCGAAGGTGGAGACGAGACAGCCACCAACCACCATCTAAACTAGTAGTTTACTGTAGCGTGTGAAGCGTTTGGGAGGGGTCGGAAATGAGAGAACGGATATTATTGGCAAATGATTTGTCTCGCTCGCATCCTGCAGCATGGTGCGTGCAGAGGCTAGCTGACGGACGGACATTGACAACCTTCGTCAGGCATCACTCATCACTCACACGAGTCAGTATGCAGCTCATGCGCATATGTAGGGTCTAGGAAAGAAGAAAAATTTTGTGCAGGGTTGACACGAGCCATGCCCATACCTCATGCACCGCTTGACTGCAATGAACTTCGCAGTTGTGATGGTATAGTCGGGGACACCAAGCTGGTGGAGTTGTGAAGAGAACAGAGAACAGAGAGAGAATGAGGTGTTTATAGTCGGCAGACAATAGGAACAAAAAAAAAAAAAAAAGCAAAAAGAAATGACCTACGCAGGACTCGAACCTGCAATCTCTTGATCCGTAGTCAAGCGCCTTACCATTGGGCCAGCAGGCCAGCTGTTGAAGAATAGTGCGCGATATTTGTAATATGAGGCTAGCTAACCGCTTGCCCCACAGTTTGAACCATCAAAGCGAATTTGAATCTTTGAATGATTCATTCTCGTGGTAAATATGCGAGTTTGCTTTTATTTGGGTCACTGTGGCCCTGCAGTATGTTAAGGCATATGTATCTTGACCTGTCTTGGTACTTTTATGCAGTATTCTGTCGTTGTGGTCTGTATTGGAAAGGTACTGTAGGTGGCGGTTGAAGGTATATATATCTGCAGTGTAGTTTCTATTGTGTTTCACGAATAACACCGACTCAGCTTGTTCCGTCTTTCCGATCATCAAGGGTGCCCATAGGAGACATAAATCAGTAGTACGGGCCACGGCATCTAGTCAATACCACAACACCCTCCAGGTAGCAACAGAAAGAAAATAGGATCAAAAGAGTCCGAAGGCTCGGGAGTGTCTTGTACGTCGCGTACCCGCGACACCACTGGACACTTTTACACAACTGATAAATAACCATGGAACGCTATACCCGCTCCTGCCAAATAATGCACAAATAGATCATAAGTTACGGCATTAGTTGTCCTCATACCACATTAAGTTACATCACCCACTCTGCCCTGCAGCTGAAAAGCTTCGCCAACAAAGGGAAAGCTATCCCACACCGGGAGCTGCATACCGTCGAGGCCAGATAATGCCGCATCAATCTCCAGTGAGTCCATGAAGCCCAGGCGTTGTATGCCAGCCCATGGATCTGAGATGCCGGCTTCGGGGGCTATAGCAGAAACGCCATTTAACAATGGCGTGTCTAGCCCTTCCTGTACCTCCACCGAGGGCCTGCGATCATCCAGACTAAAAAGCTTACTGACATATCGACCCTTAGTCTGGCGGGAGTGCTGTACAATTCGTCGACGCTGCTCAGCCACGGCATTTCCCAGGCAACTGAGTATCTCATAGTAATGTCCTGCCTGAGCGGACTGCTCCGAGAGCACACGAAGAATCTCCAGGGCTTCCCCGTAAGCCTGTTCATGTGAGGGCTCAGCCTCCTTGCGAGAGAACATCGAGAACCCGAGAACCAAGGCGGCAGCGAATACAAAAGCCTTCAGTATGCACATATTACCTAGCATGAGTCCAGAGCGATGCACCTCGGAGCATGTTTGTATCATGTACAAGGCTGAATCGATGCAAGCAATTGCAAGATTGGAATGTGCTGCATCTTCGTGCAACAAATCACTTTTTGTGCCGTCTGTGGAGTCATTGTGCAAACGCGCCAGTCGCACACCCAATACTGACACCAGGAAGGGTCGCGTCGCCGTGATTACAGCGAAATGGTAAATGCAAGCAACGTGAAGATTGTTGATGATGTGGGTTCGCGCAGCGGGTTCGTCAAAGTCAAGATTAGGAGGCTCCACCAATGGCCCCGGTAGTTCATCGCTCCATTGTTTAAGTTTGGCTAAAAGCGAGTCCGCGAGCTCAGCCGAGGCTCCGTCCTTGCTGTACATAGACGAGATAATCTCCTCCAAGATCCTCGAGACCCCATAGGAGGCAACCAAGCCAATCGACATATGGCCCTCCAGGAGCGCGTAACGGATAGGACCATCCTCTGTTTCCGAACGCAGAGCAGCTGTCGCAGCTGGTCTCCCAAGGATAGAGCTTACTAGGAGGTCCAGGTTATAAACACTCATCCACACCCTTGCTCTCTGGTGTTGCTCAGGGCTAGGCACGGCATCCGCGAGCTCGGTAAGATGAAGACCCAATGCCACGGCAGCTCGGACAGCCACTCCAAGATACATGAAGGCAGCATTCCGACGACAAGCACCAAGCATATAGAAGGACATCAACAGGAATAACCGTATCAGAGTCAAGCTGGGGTTTTCCAACATCCCTTCAAATGCGCTGCGTTGAGCACGGGAAAAGAAATACCGCTCGGCTTGTTCGGTTGATACAGTGCGTTTGCTGGCCTGTGCCCCGATAGCAATTATCATACCTGCGACTGCCATTTCTGTCCTATCTGGATGTGTGCTGGGCTCAATCAAAGCATCAAGAACTTCCATAGCCTCCGCACTTGACAAAACGTAGATAAAGCCACTCGTAGCAGAGCTATATGTTTGATAGTACTGGAGTAGCTGATATGAGTCCAGACTGCTCTCTAGCGTTGGTGGTGTTCCATGCGGTGTCTCCGTCTCTAGCATATCTTCGCTTTTCACATTGTGCGAAAATTGCGATGGCCCAATATACTGTGATACAGTGTCCCGGACTAGTTGCAGAAAGGACAAGGAAGCAGCCTTTCCCACATAGACTGCCGGATGCGGATTAGCTACAGCACTTGATATAGTCCAGTTAGTGCTTTATTACCTCGTTCGCCACGGAGATTGCGGAGCATCCGTGGATGAGTCCTGTGTAATGTTTCTGGGGACATAGGCTGAGTATCTACTGTCGATCGACTTGGCTCCGAAGCCTCGAAGCTAGCGGAATCTGCCCGACCTGCCAAGCTACCTGCACTGAGAGTTGTGGTTGGTCGACGCCCAGAATCATAGCTTACATTGCTATTGCCGGAGATTCGGGTGTTTGCAATCGGCCGTTGAGCAGCGGAACGTGGACTGGGCACGCATGTATCGGCGCGTCCGAGTCTGATGCACTTCGAGCATGGAAATGTCCCACTGCATCGCTTTTTCGTTGACCTGCATGCATTGCAAGCTTCGTAGGCTCTTAGACGGTTGGCTGGGTGTACTTTAGGGCGGGGCATGGTACCGAGAATGGCATGCCGAGATGCTCAGTGGATCCGTCTGGGGTGCCCGTGATGCCACTGATGTTCGGTGAAGTAGATCCAATCTTAGAGGGATTCGCTTGGGAGCTGGCAAGGGTGCTTTCTGCAAGGAGATAGACTGGAAGCACCCCGCATTGTGCCACGACAGTCTGAAGGGGAATGAAAAGAGTGTGTGGAGATCGTTATTTGATGATGTTGGTAAGGGAACACTATCGGATGAAGTTATCGGATGGAGATAAGCAGTAGTTCGGAAGCCGCCGCGGATGATCCTCAGGCACGTGAGCGCCAGGGGTTCAACCCCGAATTTCAGGCACCAGCAAATTACGATCGACATTCCACTGCAGGTACGGAGTACAGAAAAGACAAAAATATCACATTTCACAATCTAAACTAGAGTACCCGACAGAAATTCTTTCAATGTCTGGCACTCACAATGAAATTTCTCATTGCGATTCGACGCGTCCAAAGGAGCGACGGCAAGCATCCCAGATGTTGCTACAAGCGTCAGACTAAATCCAAAAAGCCAAAGATTCCCGATCTCCTAACACTATACGTCCCTGCGACATAGCAAGCTTCTATCAGCGAAGATTTGGTCTCGCGAACCTTGATGATAACAGTTAGCAGTGCTTGCATTGGATCGGCAAACTGCCTTACCTCTAGTTCGACTTCTCGCTCTCACACTCCTGAGCGAACTTGTCAATGTAACCGGGCAGGGTCTTCTGCCAGACAGTCGCATCAGAGTCGATCTGCTTGATCTTGGTGCAGTCGGCGTCGGTGATGTTCACGGAGCCCTGGAGCTGGCCAATGTTGTTCAAGATGATGGGCTGGCTAGCCTTGAGCGCGCAGAGGCCGTAGCTGGCCAGACCCTCGAGGTCATTGCACAGAGGCTTGTCGCCTTCAGACTTGCAGTCCTTCTCGATGGCGGAGTTGATCTGAGTCTGGATCTTCTGGAAAGAGGCCTGCTCGGAGGCGGGCACGTCCAGCTTCTGGTCCAGATCCTTCATGATCTGGGGGAAGACCGACTCCTGGAGGTACTGGTTGTGCTGGTTGATGGTGGCAGTGCAGTTCTTCTCACAGACCTCCTTGTGGAAGTAGGAGAGCAGCTGGAGAGGCTTGTTGCCAATGACCTGGGGGATCTCCAAGCAGGTCTCGGGGATGTTGGGGATGGAGGGGAAAGCGGCGTTCGCAGCCGAGAGGAAGGTGGTAGCCACCATAGCAGAACCGACAGTGAACTTCATTTTGGTGGTTGAAAAGCTGATTTGCTTTGTAATGTTAAGAGTTTGAGAGTATGAGGTTGAGATGTGATGGGATGTGAAGCTGATGATGATAGAAACCATTCAAAGGGCAAGGAAGAGGTTTATATACCTTTGGCTGCTCGGGCCGTGAAGGCTGGCATGAATCAGGAAGACATTGATAGCCTATCGATGATGCACCTGTTCAGTCTCTTTGAAACAATGTGATGTAGCGCCTGGTTGATTGTAGGTTCATTCGGGATCTGGAAAATTCCAACCCGCCTCGAAATTCGGTCGAAACATTGGATGAGTTGCTCTCTTTGGTGGGAAGATTGGCCGCTGGAGCCCGACGGAAGTATAAGCATCAGGGACTGCTGATCGCCAGGACCCTGGTCGACCGATTCTTGGGTAAAGGTGGAGCAGGAACGGGGACGATCATGACGGATGAACGAACAGGAAGATGTCTGTGCCTTGTTCACCCCGGGGAGTCGATCGTGAAACGGGCTTTAAAACGCCCAATTCAAACTCTATTGCCATTGCAGTTCGCACACATAACAATGTTAGCCTTACCCTACATCGGAAATTCGTACCCGCGTGAGTCTGTCGATATTCTCTACTTAGTCCAAGGAAGTAACCTTTCCCCGGACGTCTCCATGTTGTGCTGAGTAAGACCTTCATCACAATAACTATATGTCTTTTCCAATCTTCATCGTTCTCGTAGGCTATAAGGTTATTCTTGCAGCTTATGGTTAGAGTAGTCCTAAGGATATACACTAGACCTTCATCTAGAGTAATACAAGGCAATGCCTGCAAGCAGCTGCGAAAAGGAGCTGTCAGCTAGCATGCTTTATCTTTGACCAAATCTTTCCCGATAACTATAGCCGAGCGATGACCTTGGTGTTCCATGACAGGATAAACCTCGGAACTTGTTACATCATTTCTCCAAGAAGCAGACCCTGTAGCACAAGGACCCTGGTGCCCGGAAGATAGACCACATGCCGGAAGTATAACCATGGCAGAATCTGTGCTGTGGGGGTGAAGTGGCTATCAATCTCAAACGGTCATGGCTGTAGGGGGTGCGATCCTGATACGTTCATCGGGACACCATGTAGACTGAAAAATGAGCCATACTAACCTACCCGGCAGGGTAGCCGACAATCAATTTAGAAGAAACAGACTGTTTCGGGTAGCAGATTCCATCCCTGTATACACATTATGTAGAGTAAATGAATATCTTTTGGTCTTTTGTCCGCAGAGGTAGCATCGTCTCAGGATGAATGCCGTATTGACTCATATAGGAACTACTTTTCCAAGCTGAGACCCGGACCGAATTTTGCGCTGAATCAGATGCAGCCAGGGCACGTATCGCGTAATCGCTCAGGAAAGATCGTTATATTGTTACTCATTGGGGAACGGAAAGATTTGGAGTAGGATGTAGATCTGGTGTTGTTGGAGTCCATTGTATACACAGTACAACGCATAACTTATGAAAGTGGTTGTGCCGAACGGATTCATAGATATACCTCCCGTCCTCAGGCACCAAATGCATCGGCTTTACTGCAGCACAATCATGAAGGCAAGTTCCGTCTGGAACTAACTAGTAGTTGAAAATAATGATTATTAGTCAAAGAAACAGGCAATGGAAGCTTCATGAAGCAGTAACACGTGAATTCTACCTCCAAGTGACGGTCTGGCCGGTAGAAGGAAAGAGTTTTCGCGGACGCTGATTGGGTGGCCCAGTCCCACAGCAAGCGAAAACGGGCGAAACACATGACCTCGCTAGTGGCTAGCGTAAGCGAGCGTCCACCGCGCAGATATAAAAGGCTGCTCCCCCCCCATTCATTTAGAAAATTAAGCGACTCTACGTTAGTCTCCCTCCCCCCTAACATTGGGAAGAGCCTTTCAGCCTTCCACAATGCAACTTTGGAGAATCATCAGCTAACCACTTTCTGCCTACAGTTCAAAGAATCACTTTAGAGTAGACGTCCCACCTCTGAGCTCTTCTAAAGAGCCACAGAATCTCCACCCTTGCTGATGACTGCTATGTCCTCGATGCCCTAAAGTGAAGCCGTTTTACTTCCGACTCGACTTTGCATTTGCACGCTCTGTTACAATCTATCTCGGTAGACTTGTTTCGGGTGTCGGTGCAATGGTCCAGGGAGTGGTGATGATCTTTACCTTGTCATGATGTCTTGACTTCGGTCGGTCGGACTTGGTGGGTGTCGAGGAGGTCTGAAAGGTGTCCCCTCTTTTACACTTTAATGTTGGTGTACGAGAGTATGGAGTTGCTCAATCTTGTCTTTTTTGCGTTCTTAGCATAGTCAAATGATACCCAATTATCCGTCAAACATATACTTTCGCTCGTAGCAGTGCTACCTGTAAACCTGAATATTCTGAAGTAGTACGATTATACGCTCTTGCTTGCACAGTGAAAATCGATCTGGTTCTGGACCAGTCCTGCACTTGCTCCACGTGACGGCCGTCTGTTACGACGAGTGGTCAATTCCCCTGTGACTGGTTTTGTACTAGTACCTATCTTAACTATAACCATGGCCTAACGTCGACATCAACCATATTGAGGACCTTATGGATTCCTCTTCAGCTTTTCAAGTAATTCCACAGAATAACAGCACGGCCCATGTGCTTCTGCATCTCTTCATCCAGGAATATGGCCTTGGCCAACGTGTACCGAGGGAATACAAGCCCGCAAAACTCGTTTTGGAAATGCTTGAACGGGTGACATCCAAGGACGCTGAACGGTTGGTTATAATCCTGTCCGGTTGTACTTGGTGCTGCCATTCTGGGAACCATTCCTCCATGAAACTTTCAAAACTACCCATCAGTAAAGCTCTGGAACATACGAGGAAGAATAAGCTTTGCTGAGTATACGCTGGGAAGTATGCGGTACCACTAATGACGATGAGAATTGAATACTCAGACTAACTAGGCTAATATGATTAAACCTTCGCAATATCATGAAAATTATGATTTGACTATTCTGCTTTTTGACACGCTAGAATTCTCCGACCATGTATTGCAATGAAGTGCATTGCCGACATGCGAGGATTTGAGTGAGTAGTAATCAATGTCGGTCTGCGGTAGTCGGCATTTGTAGCTTTTTTAGAGGACGGAGATCTTTCCCGTCAATGATCATATCGTAGATGAAGTAAGTGCCTGTTATTGGCCATCATCATAGGACAGGCGGTAGAAAACGATGATACGGTACGATCTTCCGAATTTACTTGGTAGAGTATATTCCGAAAGTATATAGCCCTTCCAGGAAACCGGTGTACTATCATGTGATAGCGCTCAATCTCACCGATATTCTCCGGCCCAACATTCTGGATTTATCTACTATCATAAGGACAGTTGGAACTCGCAATGTAGGCCAGCCCAGCACAGCACCGTCATGGCCATCTCAGTGGAAGATGTCACCAAAGTACCCTTCTACAATTTCCATGACCCTATCCCATTACCACCACCACCCTCCTTAACACGTAAACTGCCAACTTTCAAAACAACACTCCCTAGTCTCTACTCATCTACTATACTCCTAGAATATTCAGAGCCAGCTGCAGTTCCAGCTCCACCACCACCACCAAAACCAAACCTCTTCTTAATCCTTCCCCCGGAACTCCGCCTCCTCATCTACACCCACCTCCTAACCAACAAGCACCACCACCGCCGAACCCTCTCCGTCGCTGACAACATCACCAATGCACCACCCTCAACCCAGTACCCAATCCACCTCCACCAGCACCACAACAAAACCAACAACCTCCACCCCTCGGTCCTCCTAACCTGCAAACAAATCCACGCCGAAGCCCTCCCCATCCTCTACACGCACAACACCTTCTCAACAACGCACCCAACCCAACTCCACCACCACCTCACCTCCATCGGACCGCTCAACACCTCGCTCCTCCGCTCCCTCCACATCTTCGTTCCCTGGAGTAACTCCAGCTCCACCATCTGGTCGTGGATCGTCCTCCTCCATAACCTATCCGAGCACGCGACCGGTCTAAGATATCTCGAGATAGGATGGGACACGAACATTCCCTGGCTCACGCACATGGAACCGGGCGATGAGGCGAGAGGCCTCGGGGATAATATCCTCTTTGTGCATGCGTTGGCGAGGCTGAGGCAGTTGCGGAGGTTGAAGATTTATGGGTTCTTTGGGGTGGAGTGGCCGGGGTATTTGAGGAGGGAGTTGGGAGGTGGTGGGACGGTCGTGGAGGTTGAGTGTGGGTTGGTTAGGTCGGTGGTGTTGGAGGGGGGAGGAGATGAGGTGGGTGGTAGTAGTAGTAGGGGTAGGGGGGCTTTGGAGAAAGCGAGGGTGGAGTGGGAGGAGAATATGAAGGCTTTTGGGCTGTTTCAGAGGGGGACGGTGGGGGTTGTGCCGTAGGGAGGGGTTTATTTGTTGTGTAAGTTGGTGGGGGGGGGGGGGTTGGGTTGGGTTGATATAGTACTAGGTAGTAATGTTTAATTTAATAGATTGGGGATGGTTATGGTATGCTGTGATGATGAAGGCTTGACTGTATGCAAGTGATCTAGATGGATACATAGTAGTATACTATAGAGTGGGGCGCCGTTCCTCGGCCCCACAGATGCCCCTGCAGGTTGTACCTTGAACAAAGTATAAAAAGGACATCTGTATAGTGTGTGTGGAGTATGCTTTTAATGCATTGGCATTAGGCTTGTTTTCATTTCCTAGTTCATTCTCGGGGATGATCCGATGTGAACTTACATCCAATGTCTGTGGTTGTCTAGTATGTGCTGTTTCATCATTCGAAGCCTATTCTACTGTGGGATATCAATAGCTATATCATCAAAGATGGGTTATTCATGGAGGAAAACTGCTGGTATTATCATCACTACATATATCATCATAACGGCTCATTTACTATCGGAATTCCCCTTACTCTCGGGGTTATTCCCATTCGCAGCCCCGGCATTGCCACCACTGTTTCCTCCGCCTCCGCCTCCTCCGCCGCCGCCGCCTCCCTTGGGACCTCCTTTACCCTTGGACCCCCGTCCTCCGCGTGGTCCGCGAGACGAGTTGCCCCCTGAGCCGCTTTCATTGGTCTTATTTCCCCGGCTGTTGTTACCACCACCACCACCACCGCCGCCGCCGCCGCCGCCGCCTCCGCCTCCCGAGGATGCTTGGGCTTCACCACGGCCTTTGCCGCGACCCTTCTCTCCCCCGGGGTTGGCCTTTCTCTCTAGAACGACAACTTGACTCTGCGCGACCGAGACAGGGCTAGCAGCGATGGCTTTTTGAAGTCCGTCGGGTTCTGCAAAGTCAATGTAACCGAATCCCTTCTTCTTATCGATTTCCACTTTAAGAACCTTTCCAAATGGGGTGAATGCAGCTTCCAGGAGCGGCTCGGTAACACCCTGAGATGGATTGGCGTGCTTGAGGAATGCTTGGGTAGCGGTCGCCGCCGGTCCTGCCGATGCTTGCTTCCCTTTCCCAGACTTTGCCGGTTTAGGTGTAGTACTGACCGGGGTGCTCGCTTCGGATGGCTCACTGGGTGGTTGTGTGTTGCTGCCCTTTGACTTGTCCCGAGTCGCTCCCTTAGATGATCTCGACGGCGTCTCCTTCTTGTTTGTATCCGGGGTCGCAGTACCGCTCTGATCGGACTTGGGCGTATCTCCATCGGTGGCAGCGGCTTTGCCCCTGCGGCGACCAGACGGAGCAAGTCCAAGATCGCGCTGGAGGATCTTGGCAGCAGCCGCGACACTTCCACGTTCGCGCTTCCGCTCTGTAGATGTCTGTGGTGTATCCTTGGGGGAGTTCTGCGCTGGTGACGATTTTGCGGCTTGCTTGGCAGCAACACTAGCAGCCTGCTTGTTTGCGGCCTTCACAGCTTCCTTGGTAGCCTTGTCCGACTTGGATTTCTTCTCTGGTTTCTCTGAAGCAGCAGAGTCCTTTGTATCCCTGTCAGGACGTTGTAGCAGCTTCTTCGCCTGGACCTTCTCCCCCTTGGAGTCCTTGTCCGACTTGTGTTTGGATTTGCTGGATTCCTTCGCCTTGTTGGCCTTCTTCTCTCGAATATATTGGACCAAAGGTGTGACTGTCACTGTCTCCTTCTTATCCTCACCATCAGCGCCAGAATCGACAGGAGGCGGTTTGGCAAGTGGCTGCGTGAGGCTCTCGAGGAAGGCGATAAACTCGGGGTCCTGATCGATGGTTCCTTGACGGGCATCTTTGCGCGACCGATTTCCGGCAATCTTGGCATAAGGTGCGAATTCCAGAGACGGGGGCCCCAGAAGGACAGGGTCATTGGAGGTATTACGGGCATCTATGAAGGACGTTTGACGGACTTTGTTCGAGAGCGGGATGGTGTGGTCGCTGGACATGACATGGATATACGCACGCGAGGGTCGAGAAGGTTTGGCCGGACTATACAGCATACTGTTAGCGGAAAGCCCTTCACAGAATGAATTTGCTGGCTTACTCTTTAGAGACCTTTCCTGGCTTGTATTGGAACCAGTCGACCTTCCCACCGCCAACCCTCCATTCAGAGCCCAACGCTGTCTCGAATTCCGCTTGTGTTAGTCCGGGTGGGAGACGTCTGACGAGGAGCTTCAATCGGGGCGCAGCTGGCTTAGGTGCCTTTTTTGGTGTGGCAGAGGCATTCTTCTGAGTGGCAGCTGCGGGGATCTGGAGAACACCTCCTGTAGACTTGCCCGCAGGGATCTGCGTCATGATGGATATGTTTGATGTGTTGGGACTTCCGCCCCAACTGGAGGATGGGAGTGTCGCTGAGGGAGTGGGATGGAAATGGTGCACTGAAACAGCAGATATATAGTACGGTGTGAAGGTCAAAGAAAGCAGAAAGATAGTCACTCCGCAGCCGCAATCACATGTGGCGCTGTGCCTGAATGAGTTGATGAAGCTGTTATCGTGCAGGAGATTCCGCCCGCACCACGTGACCGAGCCCGGGAATTGGCGTGAGCATCTTCACTGACCCAAAGCCAACATCCCCTGCGGGGAAAGACCGCCGGCGCGCATCCCGCTAAGCAACCCGTGTGCTCTGGTGTATACGAGCGAACTTTCCTTGGAAAGACTAGTTTATTCATTACTCTACTTTTATTACTGCCTTTAATTGCACTGGTCCCACTTTGTTCACTCATACGCACAAGTTCATCATGGTGGACAGTAAGGTCCCTCAGCCGGGACCGGCCAAGTTGAAGCGCAATGCCGGCCCTGATGAGTGGCTGGAGGCCGCAAAGGACTGCAAATACCTCTCGGAGTCCCATATGAAACAGCTTTGTGAGATCGTCAAGGAGTTTATGATGGAAGGTGGGCTTTAGTTCGAGCAGGTGGCGACCGATTCACCAGAGACTGACGGGTCGCATTTTCCAGAATCGAACATTCAGCCGGTCTCAACACCTGTGACCATCTGTGGAGATATTCACGGTCAATTTTACGATTTGCTAGAGCTGTTCCGGGTCTCTGGAGGCATGCCCGATGAACCTGACGTCGAGCCGCCTAAAACGTCGCCTTCCGTCATCACCTCGGAGGACATCGAACCCCCTTCCACCATTACCGATCCCAAGCTGCGCAAGAAATTGAGGAACTCCGGCAACTCGGATGATCTTGCGGACGAGACAGGCTCGAATAACAGCCAGCGCGGTCGGTCTTCCAGCGCAGGCTCGAATGAGGTTACATTGAATCGAAACTTTGTATTCCTTGGTGACTATGTGGACAGAGGGTACTTCAGTTTGGAGACCCTCACGTTACTGCTGTGCCTCAAGGCAAAGTGAGTTATACTTACTGGACGGGCTGCACCGATTCTAACAGTAGATGTAGGTATCCTGATCGTGTTACGCTGGTACGCGGTAACCACGAGTCTCGCCAGATCACTCAAGTCTACGGTTTCTACGAGGAGTGCTTTCAGAAGTATGGCAATGCGTCCGTATGGAAGGCTTGCTGCCAGGTTTTCGATTTCATGACATTGGGCGCCATCATCGATGGTAGGGTGCTCTGTGTGCACGGTGGACTGAGCCCGGAGATTAGAACACTGGATCAAGTGCGGGTGGTCGCGAGAGCCCAAGAGATTCCACACGAAGGTGCTTTTTGTGACCTGGTCTGGTCTGACCCCGATGATGTGGAGACATGGGCAGTGAGTCCCAGAGGAGCTGGTACGTATTCGCCCACAAGATGTGCTATTCTCTTTACTGACCCTTCTAGGCTGGCTGTTCGGAGACAAGGTTGCAGACGAGTTCTGCCATGTCAATGACCTGACCCTGATCGCCCGAGCCCATCAATTGGTCAACGAGGGTTACAAGTATCACTTCGCCAACCAGAACGTGGTCACTGTGTGGAGTGCTCCCAACTACTGCTACCGATGCGGCAACCTCGCCTCTGTGTGCGAGATCGACGACGATCTAAAACCGACGTTCAAGCTCTTCAGCGCGGTCAGTGACGATCAACGACATGTGCCGACGTCGCGGCCGGGCCGCAGTGAGTACTTCCTGTAAGATATCGCATGGATACGCTTTTTATTCTCTCGTCTGCTTGCATTTCGCAAGACATGAGGCGTTTACTGCACCGGCGCTGGCGTTGGGAGTGGATACAGATGGCGCCTACGCACTGTGGGTGAAGACGGGTTACGAGCATCATATATTACGATTTGGGACACAGTTAATGAGGGCACCTTTATGCATACTGGTACAGCTTGGTCCAGAGGGTTTGTTTAGTCGAACTATGACGAATCAGATGATTGTTATGAACATTGCTCCTTTTTACTGTAGCTGAAGTCAGCGCCTTCCACACGTTGGTTGCCGTCTAGAATCTCACCATTGGGTTCCTGGCAACTAACAACGTACTTCATACCCTTGCTTTTCAGAGGTATCATACAAGTCATGGAAAAATAAACGCTCGGACAGAGTCCGATGGATCATGATGTAGCGCTTCGTCGACAAATGACCGAAGATTATTTGCTAACATAGCTTTGCCACAACGACCTAGGTCTAACATCCGAATCAAAGCCGTGCTTCTACCTCCAGAGTGAATCGTGATATGTATCAAAGCTGCGTGTCTCGGCATCTCAACCGTTCGCATGCCTTCCCCAATCCGGCCTAGCGCCATATACTCCGCCGGTTACTTCAAGGCATGAGCACAGTGGTTCATCCTCTCACTCTTAGACACCAACTTGCACGCCGGTATAATGTACTGCCACCGGTATCTCCGGACCCCGGATTGCGGAGAAGATGGTTACTGAATACACTGAAGATCATTGGTGCAGACGGTGCCCGAGGCACGGACACACATGCCGCGCAGGTGCCGACCCCGGGATCGATTCCGGGGTAGTTCGGAATCGATCCCGGAGGCAATTGAAGTATGACCAGTCAGGCGCATTCCAACTCATCATATTTAGGATACTCGTCACATTCTTTGACTGCTTCTTATAGAAGAAAATCTGAACACAAAGAAGAATAACCCACAACATGACACAAAAAGTCGACGTCTTAATCTGTGGCAGCGGCTCCGCAGGTCTCTGCGCAGCCGCCTGGCTGGCTCGCTATGGCATAACCTGCAAAGTGCTCGAGCGGCGGGATGGCCCCATGACGATGGGCCAAGCAGATGGTGTGCAATGCCGCACGGTGGAAATCTTCGAGAGCTTCGGCATTGGCGAGGAGCTATTGCGCGAGTCGTACCATGTGGTGGAGGTCGTGTTTTGGGCCGATGATAGTGGCTCGGGAGTTATACGTCGCACGGGCAAGACGGCAGATACGCAGCCCGGATTGTCTCATCAGCCACATGTCATTCTGAACCAGGCGCGCATCAACGGGCTTCTCATTGACCTGATGAAGAAACATAACAATCAGGAGATTGATTACGGGTATACTGTCAAGGATGTTCGGGTTGATGAGACTCAGCTTTCGGCGGGGCCGGAAGCTTATCCGGTTAAAGTCACGGCGGAGAAGGATGGGAAGGTGGAAAGTTTTGAGGCGAAGTATGCTTTGGTATGTTATCTGTTTCTCCTCGAGAGGGTTAGTGCTGATGCTATCAGGCATGTGATGGCGCACATAGTACGGTGCGCAAAGCGCTAGGATACAATATGATTGGAGATAGCACCGATGCTGTTTGGGGTGTCATGGACATGGTTCCACGAACGGACTTCCCCGATATTCGGAAGAAATCCAGCATCCGGTCCAAGGCAGGCAATTTGTTGATTATACCCCGAGAAGGAGACAGCTACAATCTGACCCGATTCTACATTGAGCTTCCGACTGGCACTAAGGCGAAGGATGTCAGACTGGAAGATCTGCAGAACGCCGCAAAGCGGATTTTTAGTCCGTATCAGATTGAGTTTGTTGAGACGGTTTGGTGGTCTGCTTACGCCATTGGGCAGCGCCATGCCGATTTCTTCCACAAGGGTTACCGTGTCTTTCTTGCGGGCGATGCCTGTCATACGCACTCGCCGAAGGCGGGCCAAGGCATGAACGTCAGCTTACAAGACGGTTACAACATGGGCTGGAAGCTTGCTTCAGTGCTAAAGGGCTTGGCGCATCCGTCATTGCTGGAGACGTATGTGCTTGAGCGGCAGAAGGTGGCTATTGATTTGATTAACTTTGATCGGTATTTCGCCAAGTTGTTCTCCTCTCAGGGGAGTGCAACACCCCAAGAGTTCCAAGAGGGATTTATCAAGTCTGGGAAATACACTGCAGGTTTGACGGCCAAGTATGATGAATCGCCTATTACTTCCGATACGGGCGTGTCGACCGAACTTGCCACGAACGTCGTCGTGGGAATGAGGTTGCCTAGTGCGCAGGTTGTGCGATTCTGTGACGCCAAACCGCTGCAGCTTGCTGCATCGCTCAAGTCCGATGGCCGGTGGAGGGTGATGGCATTTGTGGGCGATCTCAGCGTGTCACAGAATATGGCCGCACTGCAAGCTGTACGTTAGAGGGATAATCCTTGCCAGGATATAGCAGTATACTGACCGAGTGCAGGTTGGAGAGTATCTCGGCTCCGATGACAGCCCTCTTCAGAAGTTCCGCTCGACAAGTGGCGAACCTGACAGCCTTATCGAGCCAATTCTCGTGGCACATGGTAAACGGCATGGCGTCGAGCTGGAGCAGATCCCGCAGAGCTTCTATCCATTCACGGGGAAGAACCATATCAGAGGTGAGTTAAATGCCTCGGAAAAAAAAGATCAATCTAACCGGGATGTAGATCTTCACAAAATATTCTTTGATGACGAGAGCTACAACAGAGGTCATGGACACCTTTACGAGCATCTCGGTATTAGCCCTGACAAGGGTGCTATCGTCATTGTCCGTCCAGATCAATGTAAGCCTCCGTCGTCACCGGCCTTGGAATGATCTACTGACAAAGTTTAGACGTATCTGCTGTGTTCAGTCTAGATGACTATAGACGAATCGGCCAATTCTTTGAGGGATTTATGATCCCACAGGAGAGGTCGGAGTCGTTGACGGGAAGCAAGCTGTAGCCGCTGTACGCAGAACGTGCTCTGATGAGCCTCAGAATCGACATGCTTATCATGTTGAAGCGAGGCAGAATGAGATACAGGCAGGGATAACCTGCTACCAAGCGGGGTTGGATTTATCAGCTAGATGCTTTGGCGAACTATTTAAGCAGCATGGCGACACATCGATATCTAAACAGCATAGACAGCTTCCAAATCTCATTAATCATTATCAATCTACTGCATAGCAAGATGGCTCCCCATGTTCTCGAGGGCAATGGCCAGGCTATTGAGCCAACACTCAAGTCAATTCCTGCAAAGGATGTGTCAGTGGCCACCATCGAGTCTCCCAGCACTGTACAGAACCTAGCTCAGCTCCTAGCCAAAGCAGCAAGGTCCGAAGCCGGACTCACCTTCTACACGCCTGGAGCAGAAGCCTCGCGTGTTTTGTACTCCGACCTTCAGAGCAAAGCCACGGAGAAAGCTCAGCTCTTAGGCCAAATCGATGGAATCTCCGCATCCTCTATTATCCTGCTCCACTTTGAGAACCATCACGACACAATCCTATGGTTCTGGGCTGTCACACTCGCAGGCTTCCTTCCTGCCATTTCAACCCCCTTCGTGCATGATCCCGCGCAGCGTATGAAGCATCTACGTCACCTTAAAACGCTGCTACAGGAGCCCGTCGTCCTCACTACGGAGCGGCTTGTCCCAGACTTTCTGGACACTGATGAGCTTCGTGTGCTTCCGGTCGAGGTGCTCGACAAAGCTGCTAACACAAATTGCCTATCTGACACTATGCCACTCTGTGGAACAGAGAAGCAAGCACAAGATCCAGCAGTGCTCATGTTAACGTCTGGAAGTACTGGAAGCGCCAAGGCGGTTCCACTCCGCCATGGACAGCTTCTCACGGCACTACAGGGCAAGAAAGATCACCATGGTACTGAGCCTGGGGATGTATTCCTTACTTGGGTTGGATTGGACCATGTTGCTAGTCTCTGTGAGATTCATTTGCATGCAAGTATGTTCTTCACTTCTACCTTTATAACATAACCGCAGCTAACAAATCCACAGTGAGTCTGGGCGCCGACCAAGTGCTCATCCCAGCCTCAGAGCTGCTTCGTGATCCAATACGTTTCATCCAGCTGCTCGATTCACATAAAATTGCCTATACATTTGCACCCAACTTCTTCTTGACGCAGGTGCGGGACGCTCTCGCTGCCAACTCAACTCTCCAAGCGGATCTGTCTCGTCTCAAGAGCATCAACTCGGGTGGCGAGGCCAATGTCGTCGCCACTATCGACGGGCTCACTCGTGAACTGCGTCGATTTAACATCCAGCGCGAGGTGATTAGTCCTGGCTTTGGGATGACAGAGACATGTGCCGGATGCGTGCATGCAAGGGCATCGCCGTCCTACGATCTATCCAAAGGCCTCGAATTTGCCTGTCTCGGACCATGTACTCCTGGCATCAAGATGCGCGTGATGCGTCCCACAGCTAGAGATGAGCCCGCTGCGCCTGGTGAAGTTGGCGAGCTTCAGCTGTCTGGCCCTGCCGTGTTCACGGGATACTTCAACAACCCAGAGGCCACAGCTGCCGCGTTTACAGAAGACGGGTGGTTCATCACAGGAGATCTCGCCTGGCTGGATGACTCAGGATATCTCAACCTAGCAGGACGGACTAGAGACACTATTATAGTGAACGGAGTCAAATGGAGCGCCACAGAGATCGAAGTGGCTATCGAAGAAGAGAACATCCCAGGAGTTGTGCCCTCGTATACCGTGGCCTTCCCTTGTCGCGCCCCAGGCTCCGCTAGCGAGGATATCGCCATTGTCTACTCCCCTGCTTATGCTGCCGACGACGCCGCAACGCGCTTTGAGACTGCCACCGCCATAGCAAAGACCGTTGCACTCCTAACGGGGCGGAAACCCGCCCATTTAATCCCGTTGCCGGCGGAGATGCTAGACAAATCCTCGCTAGGCAAGATCTCACGGACCAAGGTGCGGACCGCATTCGAAAAGGGCGAGTATGCTTCCTTCGAGGAGGAAGACCTCAAGATCGTCCAAAAGTACCGCGAATCCACACAGCGACCTGCTCAAACCGAGACCGAGAAGCGAGTGCAAAGCACCATAGCAGATCTCCTCAAGATCCCCATCGAAGACATCAACGTAGACATGTCAATCTTTGACCTCGGAATCACCTCGTTCAACCTGATCCTCCTCAAAGCCATGATTCAAGAAGCCGTTGATGCACCCATAGAAATACCCATGTCTGTCCTAATGACCGAGTAAGCACTCCAC